AAACCCTCATTTTCTGAATAATCGCCATCTCTGTCTCCTATGCGTATAGATTTCACGCTCGTGTTCCCCATGACACCTGTCAAGGGCTTGTTTTTAACACTTTTAAGCATCAAAGAGAGCTGCATCTTTGAAGTGCCAGTTTGCATATTTTCTCCGAATCCATCGACTTGCACTTTTTGTCCCACAACCGCGTTTCTATAAGCTCTATTCTCCATCGCGAGAAGGAGAGGATTTGGCGAGTGTTTGTGAAACATGATCGCTCTGTCTCGTGCGCGCTCGCACCATTTCCGCACACGCCAATAAATTCCGAGCGTGAGCCCTGACGTGCTTCGAGAGCGAAACTGTTCGGCAATAAGCAGTTTAAAACACTCGGTTCTCTTATATCTCCGTGCGATATTACATGGTGTCAGACCGTAACCATCCTTGGCGAGTATACATGCGTAATTATGGTGAACGAATTTCTGTAAGCAGCTAAGACTTCCGTGTTGGGCAGCTTCGTGAACGGGAGTTTTGAAATGATCTGGATGTACATCTTTATTACACCACTCTCTTACAGGATGTTCTCCTACGGGCTCGTCGCAGCGAGCCCCGCTCTTGATCAGCTGAGTTGCTAGCTGACTGTAGTTGAAATGCGCGGCGATAAAAAGCGCGACTCTAAGCTGATATCTTGAAACTAAAGGATCCTCGTGAACACTGACCATATGCTTCATGGTTGGTGTAAGCTGGCCTAACGTCGCTGATCGTAGAAACTCGCTCCAACCATTCCAAGTCTCTAAACGAACCGTGTCCCCATAATCAATGAAATACTTTTTCATTGGATGACAGTCATACATTTCTTTTCCTTCCGCGGACACTAGTCTAAAAACGCTGACATGCAAGCCCGTTTTTTCGGTAATCATTGTCTTTAGCTCACCCACTTTGGTTTCCCACACGTCAAACCATTCAGTGAATCGAAGCGTTTCGTTAGAATACGAACAAGCAACGCTCAAGTATATTTTGACATTTTCTTGAAGTTCACATCGTAGTGTAGCTCCTGGCGGAATACTTATGTCTGTAAAAACCCAGTCATCTTCTAAGCTCGATCCAGCGTACTTAATGGCCATGAGCATATCGTTTTCGCCATCTTCGCTCTGCACCGTATCCAAGTCGAGTTTCTTTCTAAGTATTCCCTTGATATCGCTCACCGTTTGACCAAGTTCTACGTCTAACAGATATCTGTTGCCTCCGAAAAGCACAAAGACTCGCATGTTTTAAATTCAAAGTTCCGTGACTATCCAAACTAACTGTTCAAACAACAGCGATTCTCACATATTCCGATTGCCTGTGTCGCCGGCTGTAATCGACTGTATACCAAATATTGCTTTATCACTAGGAAGCGACAGGCTAAAAAGCCTCGGTTCACGGCATTAATATTTCATTACAATGCAGCAAAGTTTGCCTTTTGTGTAGCGCAAAGTCTGATAACCGCAAGCCTACCAATTAACGGCTTAAATAATTAACACACACTGCTAGCCAATCGGCATAATATTTGAACACATTTAAGGGTCGTTGTTGTGAAAGCGTGAAATGCAAATTTAACTAAAGCGAAAATGGCTGAATAAAAGAATACGTCCCGCTCCTTAGCTTTTGTTGAAGCTAATGAGAAAGGTTTGTCGCTAAGTTGTTTTAACGCACGTAATGCTCCATTAAGAGAAAATGGAAACTATTGTTTACCTTTCGAGCCAGAAATGCAAATTCGTGTTAGATGAAAGGATACTCTTCGCCGATAAATTTCATTGTACAGTCTTTTTGTTAAAGGTGTTTAATGGCTTAGGCGCATTTGGCTGTGTTTTTTGTACAGCTTACAACGTCAATAACGAATTGTTTTAGCACTTCGTCTACTGGTCTAAGTTACAGAAAATAAGCTTTAGAAACACCGATGTTTATTATTCAAATACATAACATAAACAACAAGAGGATAAAAGTAAGCTGGGATGAACTTCATTTTTCAGATTTTTAAGCCTATGGGACATGGCATGACCTGTCGTCCCCCAAACGCAAAAACTGCAAAAAATACTTGAGTAACAATAGATCTGTTCCAGCTCATTGTCTTTCAAATAAAGCTAATTCAATGCACAGGGGTCATTTAATCATGTGCTTTGTTGACAGAATAATGCAATGTTTATATTGTGGGCAAAGCTAGATAGATTATAGGATTGTCCAATTAAATCCATAAACTCACCCATCACAGCTGAAATTATCCTTGATACTTTGGTATGCAAGGTCGCAACGAATTCTAACTAAGGGGACAAATTAACCTTTTAGCTTAGGTGAAGGTTATTTAAATCTTAGGGGATATTGACTAAGATACAGTTGAAAATAACAGTAATTAGTGTGAGCAGAAAAACATATCTTATGCACAATGGTGTCATTGCTAATTCAATGTTGCTGTTTGAGTTTCCAGTGAAATCATTTTCTTGCATTAATTCCGCACTCGAGAAATATAAGACCTAAACTCTGTTTTGTATTACACTGAAAAGCTAAAGAGTCTTCTTTAAGAAAAGGAATCCTTAACCTTAGTTAAAAATGATTACATCCTAGAATTTTATCCAAGGAGTCTTCAAGAAGCTGTTTAAATAACTGTTTGAATTATTTCAAAACAGTCGCTGTCGAATACTGACATGAAGTTGAGGTTCATCGGTGTAACCATGGTAACATTTTCTAATTGTATGCATCTTTGTTGAGAATTTCTCAAAAACTTGAAACAGGAAAAGACAAAAGAGTCGCTCCATGTCGTCTTTGATTC